TGAGGTCTAGCAGGACAAGCACAGAGATGAGTCCACTGTCAGAGGCCATAAGAAGATCATTTGTAACCTTCACTAAAGCTGTTTCTGTGCTGTGATGAACTCTGAAACCTGACTGAAGCCATTCCTTCAAATAAGCCATTCCTCTGCAGATGATCTGTTAGCTGTTTGACAACTATTCTTTCAAGGATTTTTGATATGAAAGGAAGGTTAGAGATTGGCCTATAATTAGCTAACACTGCTGGCTCTAGAGATGGCTTTTTAAGTTTAATTACTGCCAGCTTGAAAGCCTGTAGTACATAGCCGAATATTAGAGATAGATTGATTATATTTAAGATCGAAGCTTAAATTCATGGCAGGAGTTCTCTGAGCAGTCTTATAGGAATGGGGTCTAAAAGACATTAGATGGATTGGAGAAATGAATTACTGAAGTTAACTCAGAAAGATCAATCAGAGAAAAATAATCTAAATGAATATCAATGGTGCTGTAGATAATGTTACATCTGTGAGATGATTATAAGTCATTTTTTTTCTCTAATGGTTAAAATTTTATTTGTGAAGAAGTTCATGAAGTCATTACTAGCTGTTAAAGGAATGGTTGGCTCAACAGTGCTCTGATTTTTTGTCAGCCTGGCTACAGTGCTGAAGAGAAACCAAAGCCCAATCAAGATGGTTTAGGAGCATAGAGTGAAGTCAAAGGGGCCAACAAGTGCTCAGTACTTTGTATGTTATATTTCATGAAAACTACCACATGTGCTGTAATATAAAGAGCTCTGTTCTTCTTCCAGTAGCTTCTGGAATCTTGATTTTAAATTACTTCCAGCAGATTTTGGGGCTGCTATCCCCATTTTAACATACTCATCTAATGGTATACTGCAGTGGGAGAAGGCAAAATTAGTTGAAACAAAGAAATTAAAAAATAAATTGAAGTCAAAATGTAAACTATTCATATTATGTATTATATTGTGTACTTTTTATGTCTATTATGCTGATGCTGTAAAATTTATGATTCTAATTTTTATGTTTTAGTTGGCTACACCACCAGTGATCTTGTGTTCATGTGGCAGTCTGACCCAGTTCAAATGGATGAGATTGCTCTCCCACAGTTTGACATCAAGCAAGAGGATATAAAATATGGAAACTGCACAAAGTACTACCAAGGAACAGGTTAGTAATCTGTAATTGAATTAAAAGACTACGTCCAATTTCTGTAAATTGAAATTTTATTATACTGTGCAGGCAAAAACTAGTCTGTGCATGTATTACTTCTAGGCTACGCTATAGTAACCCGTTATTATCAGGTGACTCTAAGAGCTTCTTGTAAAGCCTTCAGTTTGTTTAGAATGCTGCAGCAAGAGTACTGACAGGGACTAGAAAGAGAGATGATATTTTCTCCTAATTCCATCGCTTACTCTCAGGCTACCTGTTAAATATAGAATTTAAAATCCTTCTTAAATAAGGTCTTAAATAATCAAGTCCAATCTTATCTTAAATAAATAATAGTAGTATATTGTCACAGTAGGCCACTTCTCTCAGACTGCAGAATTACCCGAGTTTCTCAAAGCAGAATGGGAGGAAGAGCCTTCAGTTATCAGGCCCCTCTTCTGCAGAACCAGCTTCCCTCTCTACTTTCAACATTAGGCTTAAAATTTTCCTTTTTGACAACTCTGGATCAGGTGAGCCTGAATCCTCCCATAGTTACGCAGCAATAGGCTTAGGCTGCTTGGGGCTTCCCATGATTCATTGATTGTTTCTTCTTCGCTCACCTCATTTTCGTGTTCTGTGCATTTATCGACCATTATTATTTTTATTCATTAGCAGTGATTAAACTCTATCGCTCTCTTCTAGTGTGTCTTTTGTCACTTCTACTCTCCCCTACCCCCAACCAGTGACAGAAAATGGCAAATAGTTTCTTCCTGTTAAAGGCGAGTTTTTTTGTTCGCGTTGTCACCAAGTGATTGCTCATAGGAGTTGTCTGATTGTCGGGATTGTCTAAAAAGATAATTTGCCATTATTAACTACAATGAAAATAAGATAGTTTGTCTCAAAGTAATGCAGAAAATATTGAATATGAACAGCTTATCTTATGTATTTAAGATCTGTGTGTTTGAGTATTTAATCATTCTCTGTTTCCAGGATACTACACCTGTGTCGAGGTTATATTTACGTTGCGACGGCAGGTCGGTTTTTACTTGATGGGAGTTTACGCTCCAACACTGTTGATTGTTGTTTTGTCCTGGTTGTCATTCTGGATCAACCCTGATGCCTCAGCTGCAAGGGTGCCACTAGGTGAGTACCACAAAAACACATTTTGCATTCTTTGTTTGAATCACTTTACATTTAAGTAAACTATAACCAAATGTTTGCATTTCAGTGCTGGGTACCCTATACAGAGAAGTGTTTGGCCTAAGACTCCTCATGCTTAAATTTCAATACAGGCATTGATTATTTGTGTTTGCAGGTAACACAGCTGCTTCTTTATTCAAGACAGTTGGACACCTCAAAGGAAAAAAAACATACAAATCACTTAATAATTGTTAATTTCCACTTAGGTCTTGCATTGACCATGCTGGTTCATTGTCAATACATACTGGTGCAATTAATGGGACAATGAATTACGTTCTATTACTGTGCTTCCCTTTAAAATCTCAGCTTTGAAATAGGTTTCTTGAAAACAGCAGCTGAATTCATGAAAAACACTAAGTTTATGAAAAGCATTTGTCAAGAGTTTGTTAATTTTGACAGATGGTTTTCATTTAATATTGTCACCTAAATTCTTTTACTTTTAGTATAGTTTTAGTTAACCAAAAGTCATAAGATTATTGTTGATTAAATCTAAAGTTGATTCAGTTGACTAAAATATAAAGTGTAGAGGTCTCATGTCTTACCAGTGAGAGTAGCTCCAAGGGTCAACCTTTTGCTGTGTTTTAGTGAGAAACAAGGAGCATGGGAGGAAGCTGTACCATGTACTGAAAAGAAAGAAAAAGCAGATGTAGATTAAATGTCTATGTCTAACCTTAATGCACAAGGATCATTTCTAAACTTGTCTCACCTGTCTCCCCAGCTTTATCGGTTCTGATTGAATCCAGTCTCCCCAGCAATGCCTGATCTCATGTTACTTTATATAAAATGGACCCCATTAAGTTCCATAAAGCTTGCCATCCAGATTTTAGAATAGAGAAATGGTATGGTAACTTTGTGTGTACATGAGGATATTCGTATTTGTTGTGGCTACGACTGTTACTGGAAGACAAACTGATAAATTTGTCATTTATCTGTGTAGAGCCATATATTTTGTTTCTTACATTTCACCTTCACAAAGCTACTGTAAAGCAATTCTTATCAAACCTAGTTCAGTAATCAATTGCTATGAACATGTGGTTATTTCAGCATATATAGCATGTAATTCGGGCAAATATAAAGCAAATCTGACTATGCTGGCCTTTACAGAATTGTAATTGGATTAATAAGACATGACATCAACAAATTTAATAACAAGATGCATGTCTCAGAGGGGCTTTAGCCAGGCCATTTTCTGAGAAACATCCTCTTCCTGATGTTAAATTTGTTTTCAAGTCCTATTGAGAGCATTATTATATGCATGCATGAGATTTTCATTATGAATCAGTACCTAATTTCAGTCAAGATTCCTCGTTGCTCTGTTCCCACAAAGACAGATTGAATATTGAATGATGAGACAAAAAAGTTCTAGCTGTAACTGTAGACTGATCACTTCTTAAAACTTTACCTCACTAAAACATATTTTAATACTACTGTTTCCCTCTGCTCAGATTGACATACTGATGCAGCCATACATTTAATACTGTGCTTGATAAAGGATCATAATGTTCAATTTACAGAACTCTTAAAGAAGGCATTCAGATGTAACTGAGTTGTAGCAAATGCGATGTTATATGTATATTCAACATGGTGTATTATAATGATCACTACTTTTAAAATTCAATCTCCTCTTTTTGATGTATCCAAGCAGAATTAAATGATCACAAATCTCAATTACCTGGAAATGATTATTATAAAATGGTAAAATTAACATGTTAACATCTGTGCTTTTCTAGGTATTTTGTCAGTGCTTTCGCTATCCAGTGAGAGCATGTCCTTGGCTTCAGAGCTACCAAAGGTTTCCTATGTAAAGGCTATTGATATTTGGCTCATTGCCTGTCTGCTCTTTGGTTTTTCATCCCTGGTGGAATATGCTGTAGTCCAGGTCAGTTCTTGCAAACAACCACTCACACTGTACTGTAAAATACATCTTGCTATATATAAAATATCTGTGTACACATAGCTTAGTTGGAAAACCTACTTGGGGAACAAGCCTTGGGACAAGATAACAATAACTGCATCAGCAATTCAACAAAATATTTGCATACTATTTTGCAGTGTAGAGGTTTCTGTCAGAGTTTAGGGTCCAGATGCAGATGTGCAGAGATGGAATTCTAAACAAAAAGCAAGCGTTTATTTTGGCTGCCGTTTGCTGTTTTTGCATATTTCTCCATCTCTGAGTGAAGGCCCCTCACAGTCTTTTGAGATGCAGCACCAGGCTTATAGCCTGGTTTATAGCTTGGTGCTGCAGCACACACACTGTCTATTAAACCGACCAGAATCTGTTTGTGCGTTTGCAGTTGGAGACTATCCCAGTTGCCATTGGTGAAGAGACAGGGTATACCTGGACAGATCACCAGTCTCTAGGCTATAATAAAAATGAAATGTTTATTACTTAAATTCAAAAATAGTACCTAGAACTTTTCATTCATGTTTCCCATGGAAATAAGTTGACAGAACTTAAAAGGAATCCTAGTAGTCGTCAACAGTGGCTAACACAGAGCACTGCAGTCAAGCGAGCCGACATCAATTTTCTTACACTGACTGCACTAACTTTACAGTAGTGCTTCTTCTTTGTTGTTGATTGAAAACACAGGCGCAAGCACACACACACACACACACACACACACACACACACACACACACACATACACAAGTAACACACAAACACATGCAAATGAACACATTCACTTTTTTTCTCTTCAGGAAATTAAGAGAAATTAAGCTCCTGCACCATTGTTTTCCTGATTGGGTGTTCATTTATTCTTCTTTTCAGTTTGTTATTCAATGTTATTCTTCCTTCAGCTACTCTACAACTCTGTCAAGGTTGATTTCTATCGGCAGCAATATCCCACAGAAAATAAAGGACAATTATGCTCAACTTCAAATTCTCATCAGATTCCTCTTCTTGGACATCTCATCGCAATCCACTGCACAAACATAAGGACATTTCTGTTCAAATTCAATATAATATTACATAAAAAATTTATCTGTGATTGTGGACATGAAATTGCCAGTTGACTCTTCCTCTGGGTTACCTTCTCTACATGTCTGCCAACAGGCTTATTTTAATAAATAAAAATGTACATAAACAACCATCTTCAATAGTTGACATGAAATTCAGTGGAAGAATGCTTGTAAATCCCTCCCTCTTTGGGATTTGCTGACCATAACTCATCTATTAGACTGTCTTTTAATCAATTTTAACTTTGGTTTTATCGTTCTTCTATTGAGTCTGTTTTATCTCTTTGTTTGGTGGCATGGTTTGGTCAGACCTCTGTCACAGAGAAAAACTCACTAAATCAGATTTAGCCTCTCTGTACTCTAAACAGGTACAGAGGGTGGCTTTATCAGTTCTTTATAATGGTTCCCATTCTCTACGGGGGGAATTTCAGTGTCTTCCCTCTGGACGGAGGTTTCTAGTTACAAGATGCAGGACAAAGCATTATAAAAACAGCTTTGTCCCTGCTGCTCTCACTAAACCTAATAAGAACTGTTTTTGGTTTGAGTCATCTTGTCTATTTACCAAATATGTGTCTGTCAGGATTAAATACGTGTGTGTGTTTTGTGAAGGGATGCCATATGCTATCTTTTTTTCTGTAAAACAAATTTACCTAAAGGTATAAATACAGTAACCTTGAACCTTGGAGGGGCTGAACTGCTGATCTTTAATAATAATATGATTAATAATAATAATACATTTTATTTGAATGTGCCTTTCAGAACATTTTTAACACAATGTTATCACATTCCTTTGATGTGATGTGATCATATTGCGTTGACTGTATTGAGCAAAATTGTCCTTTAATTTTTGTGGAATATTGCAGCCAATAGAGATTAAACTTGGCACAGATTTACAGTAGTTGGATGACAGTAAGAATGTGTTGAAAGTTTCAGGTCAACTTTCAAGGATAATTTTTAATTTATTTTCGAATGTGCCTATGTGCTGTGTCTCAGTCCAGCTCTGTCCAGCGATTGATAGGATTTCAGCCACTTCTATCTGCCAGTGGTACATGCAGGGCCCGATCCTTCCATCATAATTCTTCTCCCTGCCTCCTCTTCTTTCTCAGGTTTCTGATCCCTGAGGTATTCACTAAGTACATGATCAGTTGTGGCTGTCTTTCTGATGTATTCATGGTTCTTTATTGTTTTTTCCTGAATTTGTTCTTTGCTTTTATTTTTTGTGGCACTCGGGCCTCTACAGCCGAAGGTTTTGTTGTCTTGATGTCAGTGGCGTCACCTCCTTTGGCCAGCTGATTATCCCAACCGGCAGGGTGTAGGCGGTGATTACCTGGATCTTTTTCTCCCCATTCAGCTGACTCCTCAGCACCTACCTTCTCTCTGCAGGTATTTGCTGGTTGCGGTTTTCCTAGTGGCTTCTTCATGGTTTCCATTTGCCTGTGGGATTCCAAAGTACTTGTAGCCGTCCTCAATGTCTGCCTTCTGCTAGTGCAATCCCCACAGTTCTGACTACCTTCCCTCTCTGCTTCTCCGAATGACATTTAGCTGTTGTTGCTTTATATCCTCGTGGTGTGGATGAGTGAATCGATGTCTCGTTCACCCCTGGCATACAACTTGATGTCATCCATTTAGAGGAATTGGCTAACAGTTGCTCCATTCCACTGTCAGTATCCATATTCAATCTTGTTAAAGGTATGGGTGATGGGTTTCATGCCTATGAAGAACAGCAGTTGGGACAGAGCATCTCCTTGGTACTTGATGGTGACTTGTTCAGTTGTCTTGAATTTGGCCTATAGGTTATAGCATTGTTGTTCAAATTACAAGGACATGGGTGTGAACAGCTGTCTCCTCAGGATAACCCTGGTTTGGGCCGTACAGTTTTATACTACAACAATAACAAGTACTATTATGGGTATCTTCTTCCGGAAGCAACGTGGCAGTCCTGTTGTCTCCTTATGAGTCTTCACTCTGTCCCCACCTCCTATCTGCTCCTTTTTCCTGGAATCACAAAGACAGACACAAAAACACCTCCCTGCCTAGCGCTGATCATTTTAATATTACTGATTCTACATGTCTAGTTCAGGACATTCTGTTCAGACTCCCTTCGGTCCAGAGAATATCCTTCTAACATTATCAAGTGTGATGTGTAAGCATGTTGCAAAACCCTCTGCGCTAAGTCAACTCTTCAATATTTCAGTCCAGACATGCCGCTGGATGAAGCTTTTGACCTTCAAACATGGAGCGCTAACTTGTTTATGAGCACACTGCATTGTGTATATAAAAACAATAAAACCAGCTTTGTTTAATCATTTTAAACCCTAACACTCTTTCTTTTTTACCAATTCCTTATGTGCCTGATCCTCTTAGCTGCTATGCGGCCTAACAGGAGCTTCCGTGTTGTGCTTTGGCAGGTTATCATTCCCTTCTGGGGATCCTTGGGGATCAGGACTGTCTGGCCTTCTGTCCTATTCTGGGTGTTTCTTATCTATTAGCAGCTAGTTCATTTGTACTGGAAGCTGCTTATGGAGTGCAGTTAGCTTCTTTAGCCAATAGGTGTGAATATATGACACGTGAAGGTCTGCCACTGTGACGGTTACTGGATCCTGCTCAAGGTGGTGCTGTGGTCCTAGCTTCCCTATCTACTGAGCATTGTTGTTATGAGCCCCATCCTTGATAATACTAATATTAATAATAATTAATAATAATAATTATTATTAATAAATTTATTTGTATAGCTGTTGAGGAGTACTTGGTGAGGGCTAGTTCTTTTAGGTTCAGCAGCTAACAAGATGGTGTATCGGTCAGGATACAGGAAGGAGGACAACAGGCTTCCACTTTGCTGGATTGTCACCGCCAGCTGTTTTATTTATTGCCACCTATCTAGGTGGTGCTCAGTGTTGCCAGCAGTCTGTAGTAACAAACAAGTTGCCATGAGTATATAAATATATACAGCAACAGCTTCACTAAGATAAATATAAAGGATTACATGAAATAAACCAACACATCCATCTGAATATACACATAACAGGACACATATAATTTGAACTATGCCAATCTTACATCTCTTGCTCCAAACACAGAAAGGACACAATTAAACACAGTGAGAATGTCATACATAGCCGAAACATCCACTCTAACTGTAAACAAAGG